TGTGACCTGCGGTAAGTTCCTTCTGTATAAATCCACTTTCCACACCTGGAAAATGGAGATAATATTAATTCTTATTTTTAAGGGCTGTTATGAAGATTGCATGAGCTAATACTGTAAAGGGATCAGAATTGTTCCCAGCAAACAATAGATGCTCAATAAATCTTAGCTGTTGTCTGTCATTCAGCTCTAATATCAAGGATGTTCTCAGCCAGATGGACCAGGTTCTTTCCCATCATTCCCTAACTAGACTGGTGATAAACTGGGGAAGATGGTCTATGTACAGTGTTATTAGACTGCAACCATATGTGGATATCACATTATCCATGGAAAAGAGAAGACTATGAAATAGTAACACAATTAGCTAGTACATGGCAAAACTATATTGTGAACCCAGGTCTCTGCTCCAAAGGCCAATCTGTTTCCACTGAACCCTACTGAGTGCTCAGCACAAGCTGACCACGTGCAGTGGCTTTTAAGGTAATGAATGCGGCGGCAGACAGATGGGATTTGTAAAGGCAGTAGCCTCTAGAACAGAGGAATGGTGGCCCTGCTCTGTTCCTCTATTTGACAATCTGGATTGGTCAAACTGTGCTTCCAAAAGTGACTAGTGGGTGGGGAGACATGGAATTGTGTCCTGGAGTGGCCCTTAGAAGGGATTAGGGTATTTAGCCTAAGGAGAGAAGACAGCTGTGGACATAAGAGCAGTTTTCAAACAATAACCAAATTATTGAAAGCAGAGAGAAAAAGAATTCAGTTTAATATAGATAAAAACTTTTTAACAGTCTGGTTTGGGGAGTAATAAATTTGATCTCACTGGAAAGGCTGAGGAGAAGCTAGACAACCACTTGATGGGGTAGAGGAATTTTGTTAAATGAGTTCAATATATATTTATTGAACATCTGTTATAGGCCATGGTTGATACATGAGTTAAAGTTCCTTCCAAACTTTAAGTTCTATTATGAAACTAAATCTATTTTGCCCAGATGGGGCTAAATATGACCTTATATCCTGCTCAAAACTCCGACTTTGACCACAATATATGTTGGCACAAATATTCTTGTAATTAATTTAAAAGTTAATTATATATTCTGCTTTCCCTGCCCTGAGTAACCTTTGCCACTTGCTATAAAATACGGGCAAATTCCTAGTCATCTGGATTGCTCCTGTTCCATGTTTTCCTCTGTGAGCTTCCTCTTAGCACAGAGGAAACAAAAAATAATTTAGTCAGCAGTATTAGGGTAGGAAACTGAAGGTTTCCAAGTACATTTTAAAGGAAAAAATGCAAAATAAAATGGAAAATAGTACCAACTTCAAAAAGCAACCCCAAATATATGAGCTGACCATTCACCTTCATTCTCTGGAACACATCCCGTTCCAATGTGCAGAGCTCCACATTTTTATTTTATGCTTCTGGTCCTAACGTAATTGCCCGGGGCTTCAAATTCCAAAGTAAAGACAGTGGATACAGTTTGTCAAATAGGAGCTGAATGTAGGTTGGAGTGCTTCTCGAGTGGTGGCTGGGAAGAACTTCTGTGTGACCAGGCAGAGTTTTGCCATCATTGACCAAAACGTATTTAAAAGCATTTGAAAAGACGTTACGTGTTCTAACTCTGCCTCCCAACTCATAAAACCTCAGTCAATATTTGTTGAAGTGCAGGGTGGTAGGAAGTTGAAACAGTGGACAAAGTAACAGGGATAAGCCTTGGGAGTTGATATTTAATTTGAGCAAGTCATTTGTCCTGTTCACTAGAAAGACCTATGCTCTGAGAAGGGAGATGGATTAGGACTGTGGTTTTCAAACACAGGTTATAGCCCACTGAGAAATCAGTTAATGGGTTGAAATCAGCATTTAAAAAATTAAATAGAAAATTACAGACTGCTTTGCACACAGCAATGGTACTATTTCATGAAACTTGTGTGTTTTGTATGAATACACACACATACGTGCACGCACACTCACATACACTGAGTAGTGCAGTGAAGTGAATGTTTACCGCGGAGCGCAGTCACGAATGTTTGAGAAATGCTGATCTAAGATACCCCATTTAGCACTGGGCTGCAGAGAGGATCCCAAAAAGAGCAAATGTTTTGGGATCCTCTATTACTGAGTTGACAGATTAATGTATTCTTATAAATTGTGATTAAATACACATACCATAAACAGATTAATGTTTTAAAATATAAGGGGTAAAAGTCCTAAATGCCTTTGTCTAAAAACTAAAAACCTTCCATCCCCAATTTGCATCATACTGGAGGTTTGGGTTTACAATGCCGTCCTCCATCTCCCTTGTTTTTCCTCCAAGGTTCCTGGTCTGTATCTCCGTAAGAGGTATATGTTTTGATCTTGATCTTACGGGGCAAGTAGCAAAAGTTCCGTCTTGGACCTGTGACTGAGTTAGAGAGGAGAGTGTGTTTACATTCAATTGTACATTATAAAATTGTACATTAAAAAACAGGTAAGCATAAAAATTAACTAGAATCTAAATAGGCTTATAACTTGGAACAAGATTTAGAGAACTACAGTGTGCCTTGGTGAGCATATCAAAGTCTCCCCACCCCCCCTTTTTTTTCAGATCTGGGCATGTGGCTGTCACAGACCCTGACTTGCTTTTATTTTTGTTTACATTTCACACTTGCATCCTTGCTGTTTGTCCTTTAAGTATAAATTGTTTCCTCAGCTACATGGTTTGCCTTTTCAGGGATAAAGCTTCCTTTCAAATCTCTACATGTCTTTGCCTGACACAAAATACTACTCCAAAAAATGTTAATAATGATGGTAATTAATTACCTTTCTTTCTCAGCCATTTTTCAATAACTGAGTCATTTTTACTGGAATCAGGGCTCAAAAGCCATTGAAGACAATTTTCCTTTTCTGGAGCCATAACCTCATTGCTAGTTGCTTAGAAATATTCAGTTTCCAGACTTTCTCCATCAGGCCATGTTTACTCACTTGGCTTGGGCTCGGAACTAGCAGCACCTTATATTTGTATAGCCATGTAGTTTAAGGAGTTTTCCTACTTTTTAATTTACTGGTAAGGAAATAAAGGGACATTATCTCCATGTGGTCAATGGGGAAACAGGTGTAGAGCCATTAAGTGCATGGTTCTACAGCACAAGTGGGTGACAGCTCTGGACCAGCTGCTGACTTCTAGGCTGGGGCTCTTTTCACTACCTCAGTGGCTTTCCTGGTTTGCTTTTTCCTGCTATTCCTCCCTCATGAAATAGGAAGACCCCTGCTTTCAGCTCAAGGTGAAGAAAAAGAGAGAGAGAGGGACAATTTTGCAGCTGATGATTCTTGTAAACTTCTCTTCCGCCAGTAATTCCCCTGAGGTGTTTATGCAGAGTAGGATTTTTAACACACACCACAGCAAGCTGGTCTCCTATAGCTGAATGCTTTATTTCTTCCTCATCAACTCAAATCTGGCCTTCAGACATCTCCCATGTTACTTTCCTGTCTCATTCTGTTCTGTTCCACCTCGACAGACTCAACCAAGAGTCTACCATGTGCCAGTTTACTGTGTGTTTTTAGGAGATTGCACCTGCCTTGTCTCATTTAAACCCACAGAAAACCTGTGAGGCAAGTATTTTTATTCTCATTTAAGAGCTAGTTCAATCCAGGTTCAAAAAAGTTGAGAATTCCAGTTCCTTGACTCCAGGCTTTGTGCTCTTCCCCTAGATCTCCAGGGCCTGCATGTATGTATTATTATTATTATTATTATTATTATTATTATTATTATTATTATTATTATTATTATTATTTAAGCACATTGTACATTCCCCTCCAACCTCCAGTTTCCTTTATGCAAAATCCTAGCATGCATGATTTTTTAAAAATTTTCTGCATAACTTTTGGAAGAACTGCAACAATTTTCAGTCCACTGTAAGGTACGTCTTATGTAACAGTCTGTGGAAGATTGGAAATTGAATAATATCAATTTCAGTTATGCTGGATAGTTGGTTTTTTTTAAATCAAAGTATAGTTGATTTACAATGTTGTGTTAGTTTCTGATGTACAGCATAGTGATTCAGCTATATGTATATATATTCTTTTTCAGATTCTTCTCCACTGTAGCCTCATCACAGTGAATCCCTATCCATCCCTTCCCGTGCTTTAACTTTTTCCTGTGTAGATCCTCTAAGGTGTGGTGATATTCCTGCTTATAAGATTTTAAAACATTTCTCCTTGGGGAGAGATTTTAGGGAATGGGAGCATAACGAAGGTCAGCGAGCAGACCGCATGTACTTCCTCATTTTGGCACTTAAAGGGAAAGGCAGAAAGCTGAGGGCGGGAAAGCAGATTTGCATTTCAAAGGGCCGTTGTGCGTCCCTCGGCTCTAACCTGGAAAGTGCTTTATCTGTAACCCTTTTATGGCCCCAGTCCTATTTTCACTTTGTGGCTGTTTGTAAACTTGTCTAACCTCGCTCAAAGGTTACCGAAGGAGAGAGTGGGAGAGAGTGAGAACGTATGCAGGTTTAGAAAGTGATAACAATCTCATTTTATTTATTTATTATGCATTGTACAGTCCTATAATAACAATGACAATGAACATGAAAGCTTTTCTACAATTCTACCACCCTAACTAATCGCTTGTTTCTATTTTTCCTTCCATCCCCTCATGCATTAAAACACTCCGCAAAGCTCTGTGCTAGTCTTGGTGATTCATGGGCAGCTTTTACACGTGTATCTTAAATACAAATGTGCATTTTGCTTTTAATTCTTTTCCCCTTTTGCTTATCCTAAGTATTTCTGACGCTGCAAAACATTTAAACATGGCTTTAGCGACTACTTAATACGCCACCAACAAAATACACTTCAAGGAATTATTTCAGTGTAAGTATCCAGCACGAGGAGTAAACGCCAACATCATTTAACCTTGCACTGCAGGACCTGAAGATCGGTCAAGGTTAGACCCAGAGCTCCGAAAGGAAAAGACGCCTCCTGAGGTGTACGTGACGCAGGAAGTGACGCAAGCCCCAGGGGGCGGGAGAGGGCGGGGCCAAGCAATAAACGGTTGGTTGGGGATTGACCATTCCATCAGAAGGCTTCAGCATCGACGGGCGGCGGGTACGGGAGTGGCAGACGGGGAGGCGCCTGTGTGAGTGACAAGCTGCTGCTAGAATCTCGCCGACCCCTCCAGTCCTCCCCTAAGCCTGAGGTCCAGCAGCCTCGGGGAGCCGCCGGTGGAGCGGCGCTGCGAAGAGAGGTTACCCTTTCTTTCTCTTCATCTGTGTGCCCTCCTCCTCTCGATAGCCGAGAGGCGTAGGGGATTCTCTGTTAAGACCCCAGGGCTGGATGAGGGGTGCCCCACTGTCGCTCTGCGCCTTGCCATTCTGCTTCAGCCTCCTCAGGCCACCCAGATCTCTTGGCCTCACTAACTCGCCCTTAAAAGATGCAGGCCCTCGTGGGACAGCCCTAGGCTGCAGGCTCGGGAGCAAAGCGTGAGCCACGCTGCCGCAGAGCTGACCCGCTCTGGGGAGCACGTGGCTCTCAGGAAGTGTCCCTGGGAATGGCTGTCCGGGTGGTGGGTGACCTTGAGCTCATAGCCCTTGGATTCCTCGGGGCCCACCCAGGCCCTAGACTCTGAAACGGACAAAGCTGTCCTCAACTGTGTTACGACTGTGTCCTGGGCATTTAGGTGGGCGTTTCTGTAAGCTGTATATTTGAACTCTGGTGCAACCTGATCTTTCAGCGCTGCCTGTTGGCCTTGTGTGTGGGCTCTCAGTTTTCCCGAGGCAGAAGCCAACTGAACGCCGCAGGTGTTCACATTAAGAATATTCGGGTTACTGGGCTCTCCTCACTGTAAGATGGGAGACCACTGGGGATAAGACTTATGCTTTGCGAAAGCTATGGTCTAGAGGCTAAGTAAAAGCTATTTGGATTGGAATCAGCTTTTGCCTTCAGGAAATTAGAGGTATGGTATAAAAGTGCTGTGCTGTATTGACAAATGCCTTAGAGGCCCATTGTGTCACTGCTTCTGGTGGACAGCTCTCTAAGGTAGTATTGGGGAGGGTGGGTAAGAAAATAATATTTTGTGACCTGATTCTTGGGTTAACATTTTCCCCTTGCCCACTGCTTTTTGGCGACCTTGGGTATATCAGGGAAATTGATTGCTGCTTTTTCAGATAAGAAGATTGAAGTAGGAAATGGTGGTCCTGTTACAGAAGTATTTGAATACCTGATACCTTCATTTGAGGCTTAGCTATGAATTTGGAATACTGGATGCTGATTCAGTTGTCTCTGAGCTGGGGCATTTGACATTGTCAAAGATGTTTATTTAAAGTGATTTCTAGAAGTGGTTTTCTACTTTGGAAATTAAGTGTAGGTTTATCTAGAGTATTTGTTGGCCCTGCTGTTTTATTTCTTTTCTTCTCAATTTTGGACTATAAGAAACTCAATATGCTTCACAAGCAAATCCAGAATTTAAAATTTTTTATCATTGAGGTGAAATATTTTCCAAAGTCTATGTATAGCATAGCACTCTTTAACTTTTCTTTGATGGAATGTTCTTTTCAATAATGGTGGTTGTGAACCTAGCCTGTGCTGAAGATTGTTTGACAGAGAACAACTCAGCTAACTCTGCCCTAAGGAGTGGCAGTTATTTGCCTCTGATAATGTAGTTATCTGGAATGGAGAAGGTTCCCAGCTAAACTTGAATCAGACAATTGAAAGTCAGTTAAAAATGATCCTCTGAGGCCTTTTGGAACTCTTCTCTGTATATGCTGTCTGTCTGCTCTCTCAGATGAACACTACTCAAATAGACTGCAGTGACTTCAAGTGCCCGACCTTTGAGTTGAGCAATTTTTTTTCCAGAAAGCTAAATAAGAATGAAGATTTTTGCTTGTTTTCTTTGATTTCCTTCACTGCCTTTTCCTTTGAGGTCCACAAAGTTAGACTCTTAAAGCTAGTAAAGAACCTTGACCAACCATCTCTTTACAAGTCATTCTGTGTATACACAATTATATGAACTCTGAGAGCTATGCAGAAGTTTTTGTAAGTTCCTGGAATCTTTTCATTTTCACCTGCAAATGCATAATTGTTTAGGGAAATTGTTTGCAAAATGGGTATCTATAACCAGTTGCTTGAGATCTTGGAGCCCTGCCAGGTAAAGTTTAACATTTTTCTACTTTTTAAAGTTTCCCTATGACCCAGTGATTTCAGGATGAATCAAAATGGTGGCAGGGATGAGAAGAGTCGGCATCCAAGGCTTTCATTATATTCTCTTTCATATAATTTCCAAATGATAAGAAAAATGCACCTCATATACATTAGGCATGCCCTAATAACTGTTAAGAAATAAAATATCTTTACTCTTTGTCAATTACCACGTAATTCCATGTCAGGTATTATAGGATAGGGAAATCAGCCAGAGAAGGCTTCATAGAGATGGCCCTTGAGCTGATCCTGGAAGAAATGAGTAGGATTTCAAGAACAGAGGAAGAATGTTAGGTACAGGCAGGGGCTGGATTCTGTCTCATTTTGGAGAAGATAGTGGGAAGTGAAGATCTCTGGAACAACAGCCTCAAAAGCAATCAGAGGAACTTCATTTTATGTGAGCTCCAAGGGCTTAAAACTGTGGCTTGTTTTCTAAATTGAAGTGGGCTTGTCAGTAGTAACAAACAAGTGTCTTATTTTTATTTCAGGTGAAATGGAGTAGCAGCTCTGGATGTTATACATATGTGCAAGTGTATTTTGGCACCTTATCCCCACACTCATTTAGCTGCATGTATTTTGTGCAGACCCTTGGTTTTGAGACACCCCAAAATAGCTTAAGACCTCAAGATAACTACCGTATTTTTGAAAATTAAATAGAAATTAATGCCACATTTCAAGAAAGTAGGAATAGGATGATTTGAACTTGAAAGAAGTTTGGGACAGTAGTCTAGCTAGTACCTTTGCCTACCTCCTGTCCTCCATCCCATGGCTTAAAGACATTTTAGAGCTTCCATTTCATATTTGAAATATGTGGGGCTCTGTTTTTGCTCACCTTAATTTTTATTATTGTGGGAAACTGAATTGTTTTTCGTTACCATTGAGAACACCAAAGATATACAAGGTGCTAATATGAATAAAAATCAAGGTGATGTTTGGTTTGTCTCTTGTAATAGATTATCAGCATTGGTGGTGACATCTTGAAATAAGCCAAGAGTTGTTTGGCTTTTACATATAGTCTTGTAACAGAACTACCTGTTTATAGACTAGTGTATAACTGGTATGAAAAGTTTCTCTTTCATGCTTTCAGAGCACATAAATTAGAGTTATTTCAGTTGGAAGAAAATTCGTTAAGGGGTTCTTTTAATTAGAAAGCTTTACTAAGTGTGTGATTATTTTGAAAGAATGACTCAAATTTATATGTAAACTTCAAGAATAACTTCTGTAGATACCATAGAATTAACTGTGTTTTTCACAGATGTGAGGTTAAATGATGGAGTTAAAATGGGAATTACCTAGGTCACAATTGTTTTCCTCTGACTTGATTTCTTTTATGTTATAGTCTTAATTTGGTGTCTGGGGATTGAAGTAGAAATAATATATTTGTTTTCTCAGTAAAAAGCATACTTAGATTTTAGTTATACAAAATCATAATTACATGTGCTATTAATATCTATTTCTGCAGACTTGCAATCACTCAGTCTCTTATTTATTTAAATTCTTTATTTAGATCATTTAGTTAAATATGTTGTCATGTTAGTCTTAACGTTAGTTTAAAACTAGAAACCTTGAAGGATGGCTGGGTCAGATGAATGTTAAACTGGTGAGCTGTTTTTTCCTAGAAAAGGGTGATTAAAATTGGTTCAGGGTGAGGCCTTCTAGCTCTGGCTCTAGTGATTGGGTCTGCACAGTTCTTGTGCAATGATAGTGATAAGCTTTTTGTACCAGATGGGGGCAAGAGATTGTGCTTCTAAGAATAAGATCTATTGCTTATTGGCTCTGGTCTTTAAAGCTTGGGGATTAAAAATTACTTTTTTGTTTTCAGGTTTTGATAGGAAGACTTTCCTAGTGCCAGTTGATATGTCTTTGTTTTGCAATTTGCCTATATATCTCAGCGTGCCTTGTGCTATGTGGGTGTTAAATGCACTGTTAGTGTACTTGTAGTATAGGAAAAGCTTTAACATAGTATGAAATAAGTGTCTATTTTATACATCTTAACATAATATCACTTTCAAGTGTCTAGATGCACTCAAACCAAATTAATTGGAAAATCTAGATTTCAGTTAATACCTATGCTTTAACTTAAGACTCTTGGTTACAGAGATGTAGTTTGCTTTGAAAAAAGTTAAAATTAATTTCTTAAATTTCTGGAGATGAGAACGTGCCTTCTGTAAAACCCACTAACCACTGGACTTCATTTTTAGATTATCAGTTTTCAGCCTTGAACAAGTCACTTAATATCTCAAATAACTGGCCTTTTCATCTATAAAATAGCACACTCTGTGTTTTTCTTTTATCTATTCTTTTTGCATGAAAGATCTGTCAAATTATTTGTTAGGAACTATTCATTTAATCAGAGGTATCAAGTTGTCTCTCCTTTTCTATTGGAGATGATTTGTTACTGATCTGTGTAGCATATGACCAGTTTTAATTTTAGTTTAGTTTTTTTTAAAGGTTCTAGTCTATTGTCTTTTGTATTTGTCCCTTTTCTTTGACTACTAAATTCAGTTACTTAATTCTGCTTACCATGGATGACATTCTAACTAGTTTTCCTCACATTTTAATTAAAAAAAAACTTCAAACCTACAAGAAATATTGAAACAGTACTACAGTGTATATCCATGTACTCTTTACAGATTGCCACATTTGCTTTATTTCTTGTATACTTTTTTTTTAACTGAACTGTTTGGAAGTTACAGATATCACAACATTTCATTCTTAAATTACTGGCATTAATCTCCTAAGAACAAGGATGTTCTCCTCCAAAAAAGCAACACTATTATCACACTCCTAAATCTAATATTGATACAGTACATTACCCAGTATATAGTCTACATTCAAATTTATTATTTCTCTCCATAATGTCCTCCAAGCTGTCTCTACCCCCACCTCACCTCAGTTCAGGATCTAATCAAGGATCACACTAAATTTAGTTGTCACATAAACTAAACATCTTGGTTAAAGAGTCTTTCTAGAAAGGTGATAATATACTTAAATTAAATTTAATATACAATGATAAGTAATACTTAATCTAGTGTGGTAATGAAAAGCCCTCACTAATCTGATACAGTAGGATCTAACTCATTATATTAATTCTCTGTTTTAATACTAGGCTCTTCTGTGTGACAGCTCAGAATGATGGATCAAGCCAGATCAGCATTCTCTAACTTGGTAAGATTTAAGTTGTATTACTGTGTCACCAGTTTGGATGAATATGAAGTACACAAGAATGGCTTTCACCTAGTAAGCATGAAATAATACCTAAAGCAATCATCAGGTATTCATTTACATTTGAAATGGTAGTCTTGAGGTATAACTGATCCCACAAAAGAAGGGTATATTCAGTCTTGGGTAGGGTTTTCATGGAAAATCTTATAAAAAGTTTCAGGGCATGCTAAAGAGAGACAACCAAATAGATAAGATGAACTAAAGAAAACACTGGTCAGAATGTATACCAGTAGACACACGTAACAGAAACCCTCTGTGAAAAGGCTAAATGAGATGAAGAGGGCCAGTGTGATCCAGGCCTCATCTGCCATTGACACAACTGGGCACAGGGCAGAATGCTGATTTGAAAGGGGAACTTCTTTCTCCTTAAGAATGTATAGCAAGTCATAGCAATGGCCCAATAATAAGTATCGCATCTGGCCAAACTTTGTTTAAATGTCCCTGTTGCCTTTCTTCTCCTTCATAATGCTTTCTTTCCATCTTTTAAAAAATCTCAGTTTGGTGGAGAACCGCTGTCATATACCCGGTTTAGTCTGGCTCGGCAAGTGGATGGCGATAATAGTCACGTGGAGATGAAACTAGCTGCCGATGAAGAAGAAAATGTTGACAATAACACGATGGGTAACCACACCAGTGTCACAAAACCAAGAAGGTTAAATGGATATATCTGCTATGGGACTACTGCTATAATCATCTTTTTCTTGATTGGTAAGAGTGGCCATTCAAAACTTAAATGTTCCTTGTCACCAGCTCTAGGAATTCTCTTGATCCCGCCCAGCAAACATTTATTTCATACCTCTTTACATTCTATTATGCAAGGCACTGGGAATATAATGATGGCTAGGATTTTCTATACCTGCCTTTGAGGTTAGCCTGGTGGGAGAAGAGAGGTACATGAATCATTTCAGTGTGATGTGCAAATGCTCCACTAGGAATATGTACAGGATATTGGTAGCATAGAAGCTTGACTGAGGATTCAAGGAAGGCTTCTGGGAAGAAAAGTTACCTTTGTTTCGAAAAGATGACTATTTAAAATAAAGTTATTATGTAATATATTGAATGGTTTAAAATAGACATAACTGAGATGCACTGTTTAATTTTGAAACTGCTTACAATTTGATTTAAAACCAGTCTTTTCAAGGGTTAGTTCAATACATTAACAGTTCTTATAGGAATAGATTGTAAATGAAATTCTGAATTCAGCTCTGAAACTTTTTATCCTTAGGATTTATGATTGGCTACTTGGGCTATTGTAGACGTGCAGAAACAAAAGCCCAATGTGAGAGACCAGCAGGAACAGAGTCTCCATGCACAGAAGGTACAGAATCTTTTGAGCCAGAAGAGCACCTTCCTGAAACACCTCGTCTATTTTGGGCAGACCTCAAGTCAATGTTGTCAGAGAGACTGGATACCACAGACTTCATCGGTACCCTCAAGTAAGCTTGAGCTACTTCACAAGTTCAACCTCAACACCTAAACAAACAGTGATTATTAAGTGCAGTGAGATAAAACAAAGGTGATAATCTGGAGGAAAAGCTTTTTAAAATAGGGAGTCTTCCCATGTTTAGTTAGAGGGTAAAGAATCCGTAAAGAATTCAAACTATATTGATAGGGAAAAAAGTTAGAACTTTTGCATAACTCTCCTTTTGCTTAAGAAAATTCACGGATTCTTGATCATTTGGTTCTTTGTAGCTTGGTGCTTGCTGTCAGACTTTCTTCTGCTCTCATTTTCCATCTTAGCCCCTTGTAAGTCATGCTGAGCCCTGCTACTATCCACAAGAGCACTGGTAGCCTTTTTCATCCTCTAACTCGGGACTAACTTGTCTGCCCATCTTGATACATCTCTAGTATTTCTTGATTTTTTATGGTTCTCACTCAGTCATACTCCAAGAAGTGTCCTTAAGGTTTTTGTTCTTAAGATTTTTAAGATCTTCCTTAAGATATATATCTAACTCTGCATAAAGAACACCTCATCTTTCACCTTTTGCTAGCTTCCTGTAGTTTCAATAGTATAGTAATTCTTCTGGTCTTCAATTAGAAATGTTGGTATTTTTACTTCATCTGATGAGTACTTTTGTGTATACTGTGCACTAGGCATTATGGATAAAGTAAGGATACAGTCTACCAGAAAAAAAAATCGTGTAACTAATATGATGTGTATGTTTACAAAGAGTCATGGGAACTCAGAATGAAGAGCAGTTTTCTTCCAGGGTATTCAGAATGCTTCAAAGTAAGTGAACTTGAAGCACTACATCTTGAGTTCATCAACCCTGTTTCATTTCGCTTATAGCAGATCTCCTGGAAGCTGCTCATTTCCCCTAAAACCACCCTAAGCAGATATGTGATATTGGAATGGGCTTTACAGTAGATAAAGAAGTTTTAATAAGTTTGAAATCATAAATTCCTTCAAATATGGGCACACATTTTTTTTTCTTCTAAGTTTGTCTCTATCTGGTTAGTCCAGGATTTGGGGTGCTTTTAAAACAATTTGCCTGATATTTGAGTTCAGTGTTTATTTTCAGTTAAACTTCAGTTAATTTAACAGTGACTTCTTTTCTTCAGGATGCTGAATGGAAATTCTTATGTCCCTCGTGAGGCTGGATCTCAAAAAGATGAAAGTCTTGCTTTTTTCATTGAAAATCAGTTCCGTGAATTTAAACTCAGCAAAGTCTGGCATGATGAACATTTTGTTAAAATTCAGGTCAAAGATAGGTATGTTGAACAACAGCAAACTTATTTTATAGAAGCAGCTACCTTCAGGTGTGCTGATTATAGCTAAGACCTTTAAAATAAATAATTCAAGTCAAATGCTAAATGTGTTAAAGCTATTTAATTTTTCCCTAAGGATGCCTTAGCTTCATTTTAACTTAATCTTTTTTTTTAGCAATGCTCAAAACTCAGTGATCATAGTGGATTCAAGCAGTGGCAGCTTGATACACTCGGTGGAGAATCCTGAGGGTTACGTGGCGTATAGTAAGACTACGACAGTTACTGTGAGTAAGCCAAACCGTGCATGAGACTTCCCTGCTAAGTAGCTCAAAAACTCATTGTCTTTACTGTTCTTAGTAGTTACAGTATAAATTTACTTATAAGATGTAACTGATCATGGGATATTCTTGTTCTCAACCCTCCTATGCCACAATTAAAATAAAATCTCAAGTCCTCCTCTTGGTCAAGGCCCAAAGTAATTCTACTGCTCTCCTCTTTGCTTACTCTGCTCTGGCCACTCAGACCTCCCTGCTGTTCCTCAAACTCTCAAACTCAAGCATAGTCCTACCTCAAGACCTTTATAGAAATCGTCTTTCCCTTTGCCTGGTCCACTCTTCCCTAAAATATCAGCATGGCTTTTCCCCCCACTTTGTGCGAGTCTCTTCTCCAACATTATCTTATCAAAAATGGCCTTCCTCTAATCGTTTCTCCCCATCCTGCTTTACTTTTCTTCCTAGGACCCACAGCACCTGACATTATCCATTTGTTTCCACACTAGAATGTAAGCTATAGGAAGAGCTAGGGGTTGGTTTCATTTTCTGCTGTGTCTCAGAGCCTTGGACAGTGCCTGATGCATGGTACTATTTGCTGAATGAATTCATATATCAGATACCCCCTTATGTGGGGACAGATATGAATAACCATCTTCACTGGTGTCTAATCTTAGCTTGATTCTTTAATGCTTGATCTTTTAAAATTTAGGCAAATATGGCCAAACTACTATGGAAATTAAAAAACAGCTACATAAATCTATCTAGGTTTTTAGGTTAAAAATTACATATTTGTGTGCCAGGGGTGTCTGCAGAGAATGCCTTCCAAGTCAAATGAAGTTTTACAGTGGTTCTGTGTCTTCTTAGTTACCTGTGCTGTATCACTTTCCCTGGCTACCCACAAGCCAGTGGTTTGGAGATGGGTAGATTGTTCTGTTAAAGAACATTTGGAGTTTTAGTTCACCTGCTAGCTTTCTATATTTAGATATTTGGTTGTTAATGTCAGTTTATGGCTGTACATGTGAACTCTGATGGAGTTTAGGAACATTATGATGACAGCTTATATAAACATCTACAAGTTGATCTATGCAGGTCATTTTACTGTAAACCAACTTTTGGACAGATTTATTGTCAGCATTTTCAGTTAATTCTTATGTATATATCCTCAGTTGTCTGGGGTTCAAGTGTGGGAACATTATATAATTCATGCTGCCATGGCTAGCCTACAATAGTTATATTGATATATGTCTTTTTTTTTTAAAGGTATCTTGTTATCCTTTCTCTTCCTCCAAAATATCTGAAGGAATGTAAATTAATTGACGTAAATAGATCAATGTTAATTAGATTAAAGACATCATGGGACAATGAAAGACATGAATATAGGGGACCAGAAATCTTGACTTTGCTACTGCTAACCCTGACCAGTTTTGACTTTAGAACTCTTATATATCCTTTCTAGGCCCTGGTCTTTTTCTTCTCTCTCTTGGATATGACCTGTAAAATCATTTTGTAGCAGACTCTGGTTGTTCTAATACGATAATACTCATTGAATCTAATGTCTTTATTCTAGGGTAAACTGGTCCATGCTAATTTTGGCACTGAAAAAGACTTTGAGGATTTAAACACGCCTGTGAATGGATCTTTAGTGATTGTTAGAGCAGGGAAAATCACTTTTGCTGAAAAGGTGAGTATGAGTTATTAAATACATTGGTATCCTATCATTCTTTAGCTAAATGGTATTGTTGATTTTTCTTACATTTTGAAAACCATCAGTCTTAAACTCTCATGCCTGATAACATAATTTATTAAAGTACTTTACATGCAAATAAAATAAGTTCCAATTATCTGAAGTTACAGGATACTTCCAAACCTAGCCTATCCACTTGGAGTATATTGTGGCTGTTTTTTGATGAAAATGAAGTAATCAGAAATACTTAAGTGAAAGAGGTTTAAATTATGTCTTTGTAACAGAGTTTTATTTATATGTATGTATAGAATTCACTTATAACTATGTTTTGTAAAAAGGAAAATTAAAAGTCAGACCTACACAAGGGCCTAGAATGGAGCATATCAAAAGACAATGGTTGTCTTGGATGGGTTTTATTATTTCTTTTATCTTTTGAACTCTCCTTAAGAGTTAGTTAAGTTTTGCTGTGCAGCCATATTGAACTGTTTTATTTTTTACTTTTTAAATTGAGATACAATTCACATACCATAAAACTCATCCTTTAAATGAGTTTTATGGTATGTGAATTGTGACACCACTGTAAAATGATTATGAATCAATAAAAATGTAAAAAAAAAAATAAATAAATAAATAAATAAATAAATAAATAAATAACCATATGTCAGAAAAAAAAAAAAATAAAGTACACAATTCAGTTTTTAGTATATTCACAGGTTGTGCAACCATCACCATGATCTAATCCAGAACATTTTCATTATCCCCTAAAGAAACCCCACACCCATTAGTAGTCACTCCCCATTCCTCACCTCCTCTTCGTCCTGGCAATCGCTAATCTATTCTCTGTTTCTATGGATTTGCCTCTTCTGGGTATTTGAAGTGAATGGAATCATACAACATGTTGCCTCTTGTGACTGGTTTAGTTTGCTTAGCATAATGTTACAGGTCATCCAAAATAACATTTTTGAAATGACATGGTAGAAATGGAAGAGAGGTTAGTGGTTGCCAGGAGTTGAGGGTGGGAAGGAAGTGGGTATGGATATCAAATGGCAATGGGAAGGATCTTTGTGGTGTCACAACTACTTTTCAGTATTTTGATTGATTGTTTAGAACTTAATACACACAAACACACAAATGAGTACACGTAAAACTGGGGAAATCTGAATAATATTAGTGGATTGTATTGTATCAACATCAGTATTCAGGCTGTTACATTATACTGTAGTTCTGCAAAATTTGACTATTGGGAGAAACTGGGCAAAGTTTATAATGGATCTCTCTGTATTATTTCTTTTCTTTTCTTTTCTTTTCTTTTTTTTTTTTTGTAAAAGTAGATTTATTTAGAAAGATATACACTCCATAGACAGAGTGCAGGCCATCTTAGAAGGCAAGAGAAAAGCCAAGAGGTGTGGGGTTGGGTGTTTAGTTTAAAGTAAAAGTAAATACACACTCCATAGACAGAGTGTGGGCCGTCTTGGAAGGTGAAGGAGCAAGAGAGGCCTCTCTGTATTATTTCTCAAAACTGCAGATGAATCTATGATTATCTCAATAAAAATTTCAGTTAAAAATTTTTTAAAAAGTTAAATTTTAAGACAAGCTATTTGAAACATTGGAAGTACTGGTGTAGTCTTCTGTAACCTTTTGTCTTTCAGCGTATGTCCAGTATGTATTCTAATTTTGGTTGATTAGATCTTCATTTTCTGAGCTTTACATGTTTTTCTTTAGGTTGCAAATGCTGAACGTTTCAGTGCAATTGGTGTCTTGATATACATGGACCAGACTAAATTTCCTGTTGTTAATGCAAATCTTCCAGTTTTTGGACATGTGAGTTTTTGTTTCTTGAGTAAATGAGTTACTGGATTCTCCAAATTGTTGCTAGATTCCATCTACATTAATAGAAATAGAACTGTGCCTTCCTTAAATACTCTTTTTTTCTTGGAGAGTTTTAGCAGTAAGTGAAAAGATGAATTACATGACTTTGAGGCCTAATTATTACTTATTGCTAAAAGAACTCTGTCAGTAGTATCTTGAGTTGAGAATTTGACATGCCTTATGAAAACAAGAGTCATGTGTTGTAGAACTGCTCAGACTTTCAGGCTTTAAGTTGCTAAACTAAACGCAGGTTATAGCCTTGTAGTGTAGTTGGATCTTATAGGGATTTCTTGAATAAATGTCTGATAGAGCTAATTACTCTTTTATTTTTCTAGGCTCATCGGGGAACAGGTGACCCTTACACACCTGGATTCCCTTCTTTCAATCACACTCAGTTTCCACCATCCCAGTCATCAGGATTGCCTAACATACCTGTCCAAACAATTTCCAGAGCCGGTGCAGAAAAGCTATTTGAGTAAGTTCTTTCTTATTTGAAAACTGTCTTGAAGGGTCAGGTTTTCTGATTAGGGAGAAATAATCTGTTTCAGTTGATTTGATAAAATTTTAAAATAATTGGCTATAATTTTCCACATTTGGGACATTTTGGAGATGGTTGGTTGGCTGTTAATTTGGTATAGATAAAAATGAAATTCTTCTTCCATAAAGTGATCTTAATAAGACATTGGATTTATAAACTCAAGGAGGCCTTGTTTAGTCGACCCAGTGAATTCCTTGTGTAATATTCTCCACATAGCTTGAGTACTTCCTGTGGTAAAGCACTTTGCTGCCTATGGCAACTCATTCAGTTATTGGAGAGCTGTTAGAATTCACAATGAGCTGAAATCTTATTCCCTGTAACACTCATTAGTCCTAGATTTTCTTTTTAGCAACAGAATGGTTCAAGTTTCCTTTTCTATAGATTCAATATCCTCAGTTCTCATGACAGTTTCCAGAGACTTTATATTCATAATTAGTCTTTAATGTCCTCCCTAATGTATTAGTATCCCTCTTTAAAAATAGAACCCAGTCTGATTAGAGTACAAGTCATTAATTTTTATCTTGGTATTGGCATGGGATGTCAGTCTAGTTTCAAACACTCATGTGAGCATTTATTGGCTATGTGACATAGAACAAGTTACTCTAACCCCCTCTGGTCATGTTTCTTCAACTTCATTGGATAGCTAAAATATATTCTGCTTAGCAAGGTTATTGGTATCAAATGAAGAGCCTACATCTACGTGTAAGGACTTTGTAAAATCCTATGTGACTATTAATAATGCTGTCTAAAAGGTTTTTGTAACAGGTGATTCTTTTTGACTAAGAATCAGCTAATTCTTCCTACCACCTACAAATCTTTCCTGACCTGTGAAGCCAGCTCCCTATCTTATTCTTGTGAAGTGGGGGTTAATAATGTTTTGACATATTTACGTAAGCCCTTTTAGAGCAGTCATTGGTTGCATAACACATGAGGAATCAAATAGGAGAAGATATCTAACCTAACTACCATCAGCGTGAGAGTATTATTTTATAACTGAAATAAGAATATATACTACCCCTATTAGTGGGGAGAGCTAGGAAATAATATATTAATGGACTTTTATATAAGGACTTCATTCTGAGTCCATCTTGGTATCTGTTTCAAACGTAAACTATAGCTGTGTCCCTGGCAGAAAGGCACACATCAGATGAGGAATAAATAATACATTTTAAAAAAAAATTGGTCAATGATTTTCAAATGACTAACCTACAGAGCAAAGTAAAACACAAGTGTTTGGCCACTCGTGAGTAATTTTCTATGGTCTCTTTATATGTCCTCTTAGCCTAGAGCTTTACTGGACAGTAGGAAGGAATGATTTTGTAAACTTGGGCAAAGTAACAGTAACTCAGAACCATGATCTCTGTTTTGTGCCTCTAGAAATATGGAAGGAGACTGTCCTTCCAGCTGGAGAACAGACTCTTCATGTAAGCTGGAATCCTCAGAGAGTAAGAGTGTGAAGCTCACTGTGAACAATGTTCTGAAAGAGATAAGGATTTTTAACGTCTTTGGAGTTATTAAGGGCTTTGAAGAACCAGGTAAAGACCTTGGGGGTTTTGTTTTTCTGTTTTTTTTTCTGTTTTCTTCACTCTTAAGGAGGTGGCCAGAGGGAAGGAGTGCAGGAAGGCTGACTTGGTTTGGTTTTGTGAAATGCTAAATCTTACCTGTCCTAAAGTGAACTGCTCAGGTGTCAGTTTTATTGGGAGGTAATAAAGTCCTAGGATATTAACTTGTCAAAATTTGACCATCATGACTAGAAAATCTCATTTAAGTTACTAAATAGGCCAGAGGTAAGCAAATTTCTTCTCAAGGGGGCAAATAATACACATTTTGTAGGCCATACATTCTGTTGCAGCTCTTCAGCTCTGCCACTGTAGCATGAAAACAGCCATAGACAATATGTAACAGATGGGCCTGAAGGCTGTAGTTTGCCGATTTATCTATTTGAATGCAATCGAATAGTCATTTAGTAAGGAAAGCCCTTGGACTTTAGTGCTTATTAGATTGCACAAATAAGTGAATAAACTTAAATGGTAATGTAGGAAAAAAGAGTAGCAATACTAATAAGGAAAAAGATCTTAGTATTATCTTGTGAATTTTTAATCCCCGGAGTTCTAAGTCAGATCTGAAGTAAGGCTCTCTCACCCATAATACATTTTTTTTTTCAACCCTTCTACTAATATGCTTATTCTGGACTTCAAGTTAGAAAACAGTTTAAAAACTGATTACCTAATTTATCCTTTTTTTTTTTTAAGATCGCTATGTTGTCATAGGGGCCCAGAGGGATGCCTGGGGTCCTGGAGCTGCTAAGTCCGGTGTAGGAACAGGTCTTCTGTTGAAACTTGCCCAGATACTTTCCGATATGGTCTTAAAAGGTAGAGTACAAATTTGAGGACCTGAACATCTATGTGCTATCTGTATTTCTAAATGTTATAATATGCTTTGCTCACTTTTGCCTATATTCTTATGGTTCACTTGTGCTAGACCCTGAATTCTTAAGTACAAAGCAGGTTTGTATTTTGTTGTATCTGCCTTTGACTTTGAAACAGCTTTCTATGCAGTGTCTTCATCATGTAGGGAATCATCAGTTTCTTTGAGACACTGGAAAGCATTATATTGGGCCCTAAAGTCTTCGTTTGACTTATCTGGGATGATACCGCAAATCTAACATGGTCCCTGTGGAATCTATTTGAAAGCAAGCAGTGTCATACCTCTGTACTAATGTTCTATAGTTTTGTTATAAACTAATAATATATAACTTTATATATTATATTTATACATATAATATAGAATACATATTTATACATTTGATTTATAAATATATAATAATATGTAATACATTTAGGGAAGAAAGGCTCAAGCGTTTCTTCCATGGTACTTGCCACTCCGCTATGCCCACCTGCACATGCAAACCCCCATCACATTCTTAAATCTTTGGGTCAGAGGGTAAGTTGCAGTACTTTTATACAAAAGTACATTAATGCAGAAAAATACATACCCAGGGAAAGGGGAGGGATGGAGGGTAGTGGCAAATAAGCCCCCAGAGTAGCTGTCACTAATGTAATTTCTCTGAAAACTCACTCTTTCTTCAACTTAAATTTGTGAGTTTTAATTCTATTTCATAACAATTATTTTTAAAATAATCTAGTGTTGTAAGTGACTTACCTCTAAGCAAACAGTCTTTAAAGAAGATACTCATGCTGTGATTCCAGATACCTGGAAGTTAAGAGACTCCAAGAATGGAGTTGCAAGAGTGACTTCTAGTAAGCTGTTCCCTACCATGTACTTAAGATCTTATTTGCAAACAATCTCCTATCCTGTTCTTTGTAAATTACTTTTGAAATTTATTCTTATTCCTTTTTTTGGTTCTTTCACCTGGGGCCTCAAAAGGAAAAGAAATATTTTTGCATCTGCAGTCTTGAATTAGAAGTTTCTGATTTCATTGTAAGTCAGTTACCTACCTATGTTGCCTACATTTCCCAGGATAAAATTTTCTGTTGTCTTTTAGGTCAGTTTAAACCCAGCAGAAGCATTGTCTTTGCCAGCTGGAGTGCTGGAGACTTTGGAGCTATTGGTGCCACTGAATGGTTAGAGGTATTATCCATATATCATCTATACTCAGAATGGGTTCTTTAACTTTATGTTGGCTTAAGCTACCTAGAAACCGTGTTCTTTTTAGAGTTGATTATATCATTTGTCTTTGTATATTTAGTTTCAATAGAATCCGGATTTAAATATAAATCTCTAATAATAGCTACTGTCTGTGAGAATTAGATTTATACATATTAGTACATTAGTATTTTTCTTTCTCTTCTAGGGATACCTTTCCTCGTTGCATTTAAAAGCTTTCACTTACATTAATTTGGACAAAGCTGTTCTTGGTAAGTATCCTTGGTAAGAAAGCTTTTTTGTGTGTGTGCAGCACTATTTTTTACAATTTACATTGGACGTAACCAGATCAAAAGATTGACTTAGCTTTCTCTTAAGTAGTGCGTTAAATTACAGGATGGGTGTGGATTGCCTTGTCTAGAGCAGTGGTTCTTAATGTGGTCCCCACATCAGCAGCATCAGGATCACCTGGGAACTGATAGAAATGCAAAATTTCAAGCCCTACCCTAGCCGTTTTGAATCAGAATCTGGAGCATAAGTCCAGCAAACTGTTCGAACAACGCTCCAGTGATTCTGATGCACTGAAGTTTGAGAACCACTAGTTCAATATTTTGGACCAGAAGTAACTAAACCATACCAATAGAATGGTACTTCTAGAGACTAATTCACATTGTGCTAGATTGACATGGATAAAGATATCAGATAATCAAACTTCTAAAAGAGTTTGGTATTATTAAAGGTATAGATGTAGCCATTGGATGAACTGGCTGAATAAATTGGATGAACTGGAGAATAATGAAATGTCTACATTGGGAAGAAAAAGGAACGAGTTGTTTTAAACTAAATTTTATTAGTCATTGCCATTTTAGCTTTCCAGCAGAATGTATTGACTATAGCAATAGATGGACTGCCCTAACATGGGTAAACCCGAAAGGTACCAAAAACAAATTATTAACATTAAATATGCCAACTCAAAGAGTAAGAGTTCAGTTGAATGAAATTAGGGTCAGCAGCAATAAAGAGCTTGACTCCTCAATCACTTTCTTGTATACTTCATTAAGAGGATAGTTGCTGTATATGCCACTGATCTAGATTATTGTCTTCCTGTTTGCCAAGTAGTTTTAGTTGTAGAAATAGCAGTGTGAAAATTGCTTGACTAGAGAAGGAGCAATGTTAAAATAATCTCTTTGCAGGTACCAACAACTTCAAGGTTTCTGCCAGCCCGTTGTTGTATTCGCTTATCGAGAAAACGATGCAAGATGTGAGTATACTTAATTATGAAAGTGTAATGTAAAGTACACAAAAAATTAGGATGAAAAACATTGATATTTAAACCATTATAAGTAACCAATAACAGGAGTTTAGAATAAATTCTATAGCAGCATTAAAGTCATGCTCTTGGCTTATTTGCCCCAAGCCTACTGAACCATGTGAAGTGAGGGAGGTGATATATGAAGGCTCTGATCTCAAACAATATGTAGTCTACTTAGAAATATAAAGGAGAATTACATGAGGGCTAAGTGTACTGCAGGTGCCCATAAGGGGTTTTCTGTAGAATCAGTGTTAAGGAAGTTTTAAATGAACTTGAACTATACCTAAGACTTAAATAAGACCAGATGAAATACTCATTGAATAAAAACAGACATGAGAATGACCATAGTTTTGAATGATCAAGGAACAAGATTTACCTCGTGGGATTAGAGACTATCCTGGAGTGATTAAAGTCGGAGAGAAACAAGGGTCAGGGAACTTGACCTTGATCCCATGGGAAACTAGGGATTACTACAGGGTCTCCAACAGGGCAGTAAGGCTGGCAGAAGTATAAAATGTGCTAGAAGGAAGAAACCAGAAACAAGATAGGCATATCATGAAGGCCAGAGAGAGCTTTTAAAATTGTGGTGACACCACCTTTAAAATGTTAAGAAGGAAAACATTTTTTTTTCTCATCGTAAGTAAAGGACTAGCAGCACGAGCCTGGTAGGAATAACCTCAGAAATTTGGGATTGTTTTAACTGCCTTTAAGAAATTCTTATCAAGAAGATAAAATAAACATTTAATATTTTAAATATTTATAGAGAGAAATGTGTTAGTGACTAGCTTGAATAAGTCCAGAAAGTTTCATTTTAATGATAAATTAATTTCTTATTTTTCAGGTGAAAAATCCAGTTACCGGACTGTCTCTATATCGGGACAGCAACTGGATCAACAAAGTGTAAGTTGAGAAAAGTGAATAAATAGCTAATAGAAAAGCAGAGTCATTCAGTAGCACCTTCGATGTGAGGCAGAGGTTTAAACATAACCTTGGAGTGAGTGTACCTGACCTGTACCTAGAGACTGAATTTAAGGATTTCTTTGGGGGTAGGGCAGGTTGCATGTAGCACAGTCTGTTCTTTAGAAAACTTTCTAAAGACACATTCTTGCTTTCCTTGCAGCGAGAAACTTTCTTTTGATAATGCTGCTTTCCCTTTCCTTGCATATTCTGGAATCCCAGCAGTTTCTTTCTGTTTTTGTGAGGTAAGTCTGAAGAGTGCTAAGCATTGTATCTTAGATCTTCTTTTGTCAATTTTGAGACCAAGTTTCCTAGAGTGCTTGTTATGTCTTAAGAAGTTTATATGCGTGTAGTTATTGTAATCTCCCTTATTATCAGTCTTAACATAAAATTGTTATCTGAGCTTAGTTAGTATTTGAACTTACTTGCTAAAACTTGTTCAGTTGTGTATGATGAGCTTTAATAACAAGGCGGCCTATTGAACAGTGCAAGTGTAGAATATTTCCTTCAAACAGAAAGTTCTACTGGATAATGCTGTTCTCAATACCTGTTGAAATATGGTTGTAGATGTTTATCCCGAGATGTTAGTTTCTTAAGCAGGGATAATGGATAAAAGCACAAAAGTCAAACAGAGGTAAGATTTTCAAGACACAGAACTTAGAACTGACCAAGTTGGCTTCTAACAAGCTTGGTACAAGAGCCAGTTAGAAGGCACTGAAAACCGGGCAGGGTAAAAAGAATGATGAAGGCTTGCATGCTAAAGTTCTAGATTTGGAAAATTGGCTCTGTAGCAGGTTCTTCCAAGGTGTGAAGAGATCCCAGAGTTACTATAGGAGGAGGTCAGGGTGGAAGCTGTTGACTTTGCCATCAAATTGTTGATCCAGTAGAGACCAGGTCCTTCCTAGATTTCTTACCACTGGGTGTTTTAGCCTGGGACTAGGATGGGAAAGGCGTGAAGTGAGGGAGTGATGAAAGATCTGGATTTGGAGATTAACATAGCTGGAATTCCCTTAAATTTCTCCTACAGTATCAGTATGAATGATACTGAAATATCTGGTCATGATGTCTGTCTGTTTAGTACATTAGGAGAACTGAGTGTCAAGTCCTAGGCTTGAGGGAATTTATGGATGATTTCTATTGACCTTCAGAAGTCATGTTTTTAATTAATATATATAAAATAAACAAATAACAAATTCATACTGTATAGCACAGGGAACTATATTCAATATCTTTTAGTAACTATGGTGAAAAAGAATATGAAAACGAATATATGTATGTTCATGTATGACTGAAGTCATGTATGACTGGTATGCTGTATACCAGAAATTGACACAACATTGTAAACTGACTATACTTCAATAAAAAATACACATTTAAAAAAAAGTCATGTTTTAAAAAACTTAATGACTCCTTAGATGTCAAAAACCTAGCAGTGCTGGTTCAGAGGTATAGGGTATAGTCTGAAAGTAAAGAATTGAGGTCAGACCAAAGGATTGCCAATGAAATTGTCATCAAGGACAATGGTAGGGAATAGAGAAGAAATAGTTACTAAAGTCGTCTAGTGAAGATAGAGAGAAGACCTTGTGAGCATCAAACATTCTTGTTAGAAGGGTAACATATGAGTGTATGAATGCTGCACAATTAGGAAGAAAGTAGATTTCTGTCTAAAAGTAGCACTTTATATTGAAAGTGCATTTCATGCATGCTCTCCTATTCTTTCATTAATATGGGCCAAACTTCCCAGAGGGAAGAGAACAAAGATGTAACTTCAAGCAGTTTGGCTAGAAATCTGTTTAGAGTCCATGATGTGGTAGAACGGGGATTCTGTAGGTCCTAGAAGAAAGCAGTCATTCTAGGAGCAGGTTAGGTTCAGAGGAACTAGCAAAGTGCTGTCTTCTATAAGTAGTAAATATGACATGAAGGAGGACTAGGAATATATTAGAAGCAAAGGAAGAATTATAGTTACTGTTACCTTGATGGGTAAAGCGGAATTTGAGGCTCCTTGTCTTATGACCCAGCTGAGTACATTAACCCAGCTTTGTTTTCCAGAACACAGATTACCCTTATTTGGGTACTACCATGGATACCTATGAGGTCCTGAATCAAGAGGTTCCTCAGCTGAACAAAATGTTACGTGCAGCAGCAGAAGTAGCCGGTCAGCTTGTGATTAAACTTATCCATGATGTTGAGCTGAACCTGAACTATGAGATGTATAACGACAAAATACTTTCATTTGTGAAGGATATGAGCCAATTCAGAACAGACATAAAGGTGAGCACTAATTAAAATCAAGTTCTTACTGCTGAAGTATCAAGCAGTTTAAAGAATAATGTTTAGCTGTTCTTGGGGAGACATGATTGGTAGCCAAACTGTGTTATAAAGTGAAGTGAAGTACATTTGCTTAGAATCCATAATTCAGTTGAAAGAGAAGTTGGGAGGCTGTGGGTTATAGATACAGGATAGACCACAGCAAGTATTTCACAATCAAAACCAGTGTTAAGCTTTCTCTTGTTCATGTATTCCAGGCAACCCATAAAGAGGTTGGACCTAGAGAATATAAAGATCTCAATTATGACTTTTGAATCTGTGAGTTTGGGGCATATATGCCTTTCAGAGATGACACGGACGGAGAGAGAACATAGCCAGTAGTTAAACTCTTATTCAGTGTTGATCATTGGTGTCTGACAGTCAAACATTTGATAAAAATCAGGTTAATAAGTGGCTTCCAACTGGTGGTATTATGGTATTAGAAGTCATTTTAACAGATCCCGTAAGTGAAGTAAATAACTGATACCCTAATCTTAATTATTACGATTGACTTTCTTGAAACTAATTACAACTGATCAGAGAATGGGACTTACCAGATGGAAATAACTAGATTCTGAAGTTCGTTAAACCAAAATGTTTGAAGTTTGTCACCATAGGGAGGTTGAAATGGAAAGGATACACAACGTAGAGTTATATACTTTTTTTTAATTGGTTTTTTTGCGGGGTGGAGGAGATAATTAAGTTTCTTTATTTACTTATCTTAATGGAGACACTGGGGATTGAGCCCAGTACCTTGTGCATGCTAATCATGCACTCTGCCACTGAGCTATACCCTCCCCCAGGATTATAAACTTTTATGAATTATTTTAAATTTCTTGTTGAGGATGGTTTTCATAGGAGACTCAGAATGGATAATTGTACTACCTGCTGAGCTTAAATAAAACCATATTACTCTAGTTGTAAAACTCCAAGTTTATAGGCTTGGAATCTCTTGTACAAATGCTTAAGTCTAGCTTTCACTGAACCTTGAGTCACTGCCTTTTATCAGAATCTTTTCAGTTACTACACCTAAATTTAGAAAGGTATATAGAATAACATTCTTGGAAATATAACGTCTGGTAGTGATTTGATGTCTTTCTGCTTCAGGAGATGGGTCTGAGTCTACAGTGGCTGTATTCTGCTCGTGGAGACTTTTTCCGGGCTACGTCCAAACTAACAACAGATTATAAGAACGCTGAGAGAACAAACAGATTTGTTATGAGGGAAATCAATGACCGTATCATGAAAGTAAGTAAACTCGTAGAAGAGGAGGAACTCAAGTATGATCATTTTTAAATGGTAAATCTTGTGTTTCTAAAAAGTAGAGTAACAATTCCAGGAGCCTTGAATCCTTTGCTGCTTTAGACTTCAGCACAAATTTTAACTTTTACTTCTTACCAAGATCTAAAGCCAACATATCTAAACTGGAAATATGAGATGTTTGACCTAGTATTAATTTTTTTAGGTTTTAAAAACATTTCAAAGAAGGGATCATTAATGATTTTTAGCTGTTCATTTTCTCTCTATTTCTGTTTAATTCAGCCCTTAGCTGCTTTTATACTAGTCTGCTTGGAAGAAGCAGATTTCATTACAGTGGAAACTTGTTGTAAACTTTCCATATATAGGTTCCAACCAAAAAAAAAAAACCCAATGCAGTTAGAGTTCACAAAGAAATTGACAGTTTGCTTTACAATTTTAACATTAGAAGATCGGTAGCCTGGTTCTCAACATTCTTAAATTTGTGGAAATTTTAACGCTTGAAGTGAGAGAATGACAGTTGTTTTACTGTATCATGTCCATTCATCACAACAATATTATAGCACCATGTAAACACTTGTATGTTTTGTTTTCATAGGTGGAATATCACTTCCTCTCACCTTACGTATCTCCAAGAGAGTCTCCTTTCCGACATATCTTTTGGGGTTTTGGCTGTCACACTGCATCAGCTTTACTAGAACACTTGAAGCTGCGTCGGAAAAATAGCGGTGCTTTTAATCAAACACTGTTGAAAAACCAGTTGGCTCTAGCAACTTGGACTATTCAGGGAGCTGCAAATGCCCTCTCTGGTGACATTTGGGACATTGACAATGATCTTTAAATGTGATACCCATAACTTATCTAAGAACATCAGGGTAATGTTGTTTGTAGACTTGTGCTGGTTGTGCTAAATTTTCAGTAGGGCTACAAAACCCAGTGTTGTTAACATTCTACATGATCATCTTGGTACTACTAGATGTCTTTAGGCAGCAACTTTTAATACAGGATAGGTACCTGCACTTCAAGTTAAACTGAATAACCACTTAAAATCTTTCCTGTTATAGTTATGAAAAAGTCGGAACCAGTTACATGAACTATTGCTCTAAATCCTAAGGATGTGAACTGGTATCTGTTTGAATTGGAGGAGGAAGGTGACATCTGCTGAAGGTGAAAAGTGGCTAGTGTGATCCTCCATTTTCATTTGATGCTAATTAGGAGATTCTGGGTTGTAAGGCTTTACTCCAAGTGAGATCTGTCTCCTTTAAGGATTTAGCTGGTTTCCACATCCCTGAGTGAAACAATTCAGTTTCAGAAGAGATGAAACTTGTTTTCCTGCCAGTGATGTGTGAAATAGAGGTCCTTCAACTACATAAAATGAGGTTCAACTGTTTTATTACAGGAGTAAGGCCTTAATGTGTTAAGATTATTAATGAAAAGAGGATACCAGAAGCCAAAGACCTAGTATATTTTCTTTTCTTCTGTCCCCTGTCCCATAAGCCTTTGTTAGTTTTTTGTTGTTTTTTGTTTTTTCAAGGTATTTTGAAAGAGAACCAGTTTTAGGTGTTTAATTTCATACTCAGTTTGTCAGACTTTAAAGAACACACTGCCAAATTCTGGCCAAAGTGTTAATTTTTTGGAAAAGCTTCCTGTCATTTTGGCACTGAGATATTTATTGTTTATTTATCAGTGACAGAGTTCACTATAAATGGTGTTTTTTTTTTTATAGAAGATAATTATCGGAAGCAGTGCCTTCCATAATTATGACAGTTATACTGTCGTTTTTTTTTAAATAAAAGCAGCATCTGCTAGTAAAACCCAACAGATACTGGAAGTTTTGCATATATGGTCAACACCTGAGGGTGTTAGAAAACAACTGCAAGCAAAATAAAATTTATAAAGCTAAATCTTAGAGAAGAATTAAATTTAATCAGTGGTTGCTAATCAAGTTAGATGTCTATCTAGCCAACCAGATAAGGCAGTTCTCCGAAATGCAGTGAATTGTGACCAAGTTATAAATTAATGTCACTTAAAGGCTGTGATTGTACTCATATGTGCAAAATTTTACAGCTCAGTTTATCTAAGGTGTAACTTTAATTCGATTTTGCAAAATTTCCAGTACCTTTGTCACAAACCTAACTCACATTATCGGGAGCAGTGTCTTCCATAATGTATAAAGAACAAGGTAGTTTTTGCCTACCACAGTGTCTATATCGGAGACAGTGATCTCCATATGTTACACTAAGGGTGTACGTAATTATCGGGAACAGTGTTTCCCATAATTGTCTTCATGCAATGACATCTTCAAAGCTTGAAGATCGTTAGTATCTAACATGTATTCCCAGCTCTCTATAATTCTCTATCTTTTAGTTTTAGTGGCAGAAAATTTTGTGGTCATGAAGCATATTTGGTGGATAACTTCAACCACTGGAAAACTACTTCCTTCAACATTCTTTGTTTTTAAACCTAATATTTTGTTGTATTTGTGGTTTCCCCAGGTCATCTGTTTAGTGGGATAATAGCATACATTTATAATGTTTGCTGTTGTCAAATGAATTGAACTTTATCCCTTATTTGCATGTTATCTCCTATAAACTTAATTCATACAAGTTTGAATCCAGAATTGACCTTTTAGCTTAAAGCAGGGGAAATTTGTATGGGAGTTTGGGGGGAGGGGAGAGTGAAGGGTGTGAGGAGGCAAAGCTTGCAAAAGGATCTTTGACCATGTCTCCCTAACCATTAGCATTTGGTGGTTATAAGTTATATGTAGATGTGAACAAGTAAGTTTGAGGCTTCATCAGGTAGGGCTTTATTTTCTAGTCAGCCATTGTTATAAACCTGATAATCAAAGGTTTTATTGTGGGGCAGTTTAGTACTGTCACCTAAGAGAAAGTCCCATAGGGTCTCTTAAGGTTCTTAAACTTAGCATCTCTTATGTAAACTAAAATAGATCTAGATTATTACAGCCTCGCTGATTCATTTCGCTACTCAGTCTATTTTAGTCTTCACAGAGTTTCTCTTGAACTGATACTTTAGTGTAGGTAAGTGAAAAGGTCATAGCTGGGACTCCTGGTTTGGGTATCATGCTTTATCATACTTTACTGAAAGCTCAGTGACTTCAAGGCAGAATATGAATGGGTATACATTTTATAGCAGTAAATCTCTTCTGGAAAATCTTTTCTGTAGTAAGGATCAGGTTATTTCCAATCAAACAAGTAAGTGGCAAGGGGCTTAATATTCCTGAATGAAATATATATCTGACTGGTGACAACCTGCTGGTCTTCAGAATTTTTTTTGGTTTCAGATGTCATGTGCATTTTGAAGGTAAAGAATAAAATGAGTGAGCTTTGTCATGAGTCACTTATTCTAGAACTTGCATGACCTTTACTATGTTTCCTCTTTGCATGTTCTTGAAATTTTAGTTGGCTAAAGATGGCTTATTAGACTTGGCAACTTACCGCTCAGCTGTATATTTGTAAATGAGTGATATGCCCTTATAATTGTATACAAGCTGCTATGTGCAACAATGTGGAGATTATCTGATTTAATAAAATGCTTGAACACTGAGTTGTCATTTTTAAATAGATTTTAGTCTTTTAGAGCAGTTTTATGTTCCCAGTAAAACTGATCAGAAAGTACAGAGAGTTCCCAAATACTCTGTTTCATACTTCCCCCACCCCAGTTTCCCCCACTATCAACATTCCTGTCCCCAAACCCCTACAGAGAAGTACATTTGTTTCAATCAGTGAACCTACCTTAACACATCATTATCATCCAATGACCATAGTTAATATTAAGGGTTGCTCTTGGTGGTGTAATTCTATGTGTTGGGACAAAGGTGGTATAATGACATATTCACCATTATTGTATAGTACTGTATTGTACTGTACAGAATAATTTTACTTCCCTGAAAATCCTCTGTGCTCTGCCTCTTCATCTTCCCTCCCTGGTAACCTCTAATCTTTTTACTGTCTCATAGTTTTGCCTTTTCCAGAATGCCATGTAGTTGGAATCATACATTTCATTCAATTAGTAGCTTTTTCAGATTGGCTTATTTCACTTAGCAATATGCATTTAAGTTTCCTCCATGTCTTTTCATGGCTTGATAGCTCATTTCTTTTCAGTGCTGAATAATGTTCCATTGTCTGAATATGACATTATCCATTCACCTACTAAAGGACATCTTTGTTGCTTCCAAACTTTGGCGATTATGAATAAAGTTGCTATAAACATATGTACAGATACTTATGTGGACATAAGTTTTCAGTTCACTTGGTTAAATACCAAGCAGTACAATTGCTGGATCACTTGAGAAGAGTATCTTTACTTTTTTAAGAAACTGTCAAACTGTCCTCCAAAGTGGCTGTACCATTTTGCATTCCCACTAGTAATGAATGAGTTCCTGTTTCTCCACATCCTTGAGTTCCACCACATGCCAACATTTGGTGGTGTCAGTGTTTTGGATTTTGGTCGTTCTAGTAGGTGCATAGTGGCATCTCGTTTTAATTTGTATTTCCCTGATGTCAAGATGTTGAGCATCTTTTCCTACTCTTATTTACCGAGTGTGTATCTTTGGTGAGGTGTCTGTTCAGATCTTTTGCCCGTATTTTAAGCAGGTTGTTTATTTTTTAATCATTGAGTTTTAAGAATTCTTTGTATATTTTGATTATCAGTCCTTTATTATTTATGTTTTGTAAGTATTTTTTCCCAGTTTGTGGCTCGTCTACTCATTCTCTTGATAGTATCTTTTGTAGAACAGAAAATTTTCATTTTAATGAAGTCCAGCTTATCAATTCTTTCTTTCATCTATCACCAAACCCAACGTCATCTAGATTTTCTCCTGCATTATCTTCTAGGAGTTTTATGGTTTTGCATTTTATATTTAGGTCTGTGAATCATCTTGAGGTGATGGGCCAGGAGGCAGCCCTAAACAAATATTTGAAGAGACATCTGGCTATCTGCAAGGTATACCTTCCCTTGGACTTTAACACATCAAATACCATTATCTTTCTTGTAGCTCCCAATGGGTTTACCTTCTTAGGTGCTTGAGTTAAAGCCTTTGAAGTTTGCTACATCTGTCCTTTAAACTACCTAATGTTTCATCCATCCCAAAGTGACTGTTCTGACTAGTTGTTAGTGCCTTTTTGGAAAAATGTTCATGTATTGACAGTCAAAGTGCAGAAGGGTCTGTGTTGAAAAGGAAGTTTTTCCTCTTGGTCCTCACAGTTTCTCCCTCAAAATATCCAGTCACCAATTTCTTGTGCATACTTTCAAAGTAGTCTGTGCGAAGGGGGAAGAGCTGTGAAACTTTCATAAAAAGGGTTTTGGTTCTACTATCACAATGTGGATGGTGTAACCCATCCCTCCCACTGCTTACAATGATAAACTCTGGGCAAAATAGAAAAGAAGAAAGGAAAAGAGAACCACCTGCAGACTTTAAGAAGTAAACAAAGGCAAGCAGATTGTGGACAAGAGTAAAGCTTGGAACAGTGACCTTAAAAAAAAGGTGAGAGTTGGTGAGGCAAAGAGTGGAAAAAGAACCAATACCATAATGGTATGCCAAGGTCCAACTGTATCAATAATTAGTATAATTAGTATGTTATTGATGTGTTAACATTCTAATTAAGATACTGATGTTAGGTTTTTATTTCTACTTTTTACTTTTTAAAAAATTACATTTTTTAAAATTAACTTTTGTTGTTGTTTGTTTTTGCACGGGATAGGTAACTAGGTTTTGTTGTCTATTTTTAGAGGAGGTACTGGGGTTCAAAACCAGGACCTCATGCATGCTAAGAATGTGCTCTACCACTTGAGCTATACCCTCCCCATAACAGGGGGCTTTTAAAAAGCCCATTTAAATGCTGCCTACAAGAAACACTTTAAAGATACAGATTACTTGAAAGTCAGAAAATGGGAAAAAAGAAACATGCAAATTAGCATCAGACTAGAGTGGCTATATAAACACCAGATAAAATAGACTTCAAGACAACAATTACCATAGATAAAAATGGGAACATTTCATGATGATAAAAGGGATAATTAATTGGAAAGATAGTACAATTTTATGTATGTAGGCTGCCTGATGGCCTTAAAATACATGAATTAAAAGTTACAGAATTGTGGGGAGAAACAGATAATTCTGCCAAAGTAGATTTTAACTTAGCAGTAAATAGAACCAGTTTATAAACCACCTCAATCTAATTGACATTTATAGGACACTACATCTAACAACTGCAAAATATTTTTTCAGGTATGTATGGTAAATTCAAGATAGGTCATATGTTGGCTGTACAACAAGTCTCAATAAATAGAATAGTATTGAAATTATAGACGGTGTATTCTCTGCTCACAATGGGATTAGAAGTCAGTAACAAGATAACCAGAAACCCCATAACACACGAGGAAATTAAACAGCACATTTGTAACTAATTTATGCATCAAAGATGAAATCACAGGGAAATTAGAAAATATTTGAATTTAATGATAATTACAACATAAAATTTGTGGATACCGATAAAGCAGTGCTTTGAGATGCATTGCCTAATACAGCAGCCACCGGTCACATGTGATTAAATGTAACTGATTTAATTAAAAAGTTTAATTCCTTAGACACACTGTCACCTTTCAAGTGCTCAGTAGCTACATATGGCTAGTGGCTACTATATTGGACAGTATAAAAGAGAATATTTCCATCACTGCAGAAAGTTCTGTTGCACAGCCGTGGCTTAGAGGGAAACTTGCAGTTTTAAATATTTACATTAGGAAAACATCTAAAATCAATGACCTAAGTTTCCACCTTAACAAGTTAGAGAAAGAACAGCAAACTAAGCTCACATGAAATGAAAGAAAGAAATATAAAAAAGAAGAAAAGTCAGTGAAATGGAAATCATACAATAGATAAAGCTAACAAAGCCAAAATCTGATTCTTTGGAATGAAAAACAAAATTGAAAAACCCCAAGCCACACCAATCAAGATCAAGGGAAAAAAAGACAACACAATTACCAATATCAAGAATGAAAAAGGTTATCATTACATACTCTATGGACATTAGAAGGTAATAAAGGTATATCATGAACTATATGCCAACAAATTAGACCGCTTACATGAAGTAGACAATGTATTGATAAATTCAATTTACCAAATTAATACATGAAAAATCAGGACATCTGAATGGCTCTGTATCAAATAAATAGAATTTATCAAAACTTTCCATAGAACTAGACTCAGTTTCAATGGTGAAGTCTATCAAACATTCAAGGAAGGCATATTGTTATTCTAGGAATGCAGGATTAATAACAGCAATCATTGTTAAAAAATACTATCACTGTACCCAGCAATCTCATGCCCAAGAGAAATGAAAACACAAGTCCACATAAAAATGTATATGTGAGAGTTCATAACAGCACTATTCATAATAGTCAAAAACTGAACACCCAAATGTTTATTACCTGATGAATGGATAAACAAAATGGACTATTATTTGACAGTAAAAACAAATGAAATGACGTCAGAGAAGACAGCAGGGTAGGAAGCCATTTCTCCACCTACACAACTATTGAGTTGTCTAAAGCAACGATTTTGAAAACTTTGGAGCCTAGTTAAACACTTGTAATGTCCAAGGCAGAGCTTGATGAAGAGGCTGGTAAATTTCAGTAAATTCTAGCCAGTGTTGGTCTTTCACATAGTGGATACCATTCCCCAGCTACCATCCTCTGTGGCAGGCAGCAGAGAGGAGAGACAGTGGCCCACATTCCTGGTGTAGCTTCCTGGAGCCAGCGTGGGCAACAAGTACCTTGTCCTCCAAATATCAGGATTGTGTGTTTTGATTGATGATTACTGCTTTTGATCACTGAGGGGCCAGAACAGAGGCTAGTCACTGTTTCAACCCCATGGACTGAAGTGGTTTACAGAAGATTAGAGACAATATTTCCCTTTGGGAGCCAGACATTTAAGGAAATCTTTGTCAGGTCACTGGCTGAGTATGGATATGAAACAGAAACTTCAGTGACCACACACCACAAGGAATATACACTTCGCAAAAATAGTTTGGAAGAGTCATAAACAATGGCTCCAGCCCTCAACAAGCAAGATTTACCAATCATTGAGGAGTAGGATAATGAGATTTTAGAATTAAGACAATCTAATGTTCAACATGTCTAGTTCTCAATTTTAAAAAGTTACAAGAAATGGAAACAGGAAGGTATAGCCCAATCATGGAGGAAAAAAAAGAATTGGACAGAAACCATCCCCGAGGAAGCCCAGACATTGGAATTACCAGTTAAAGATGTTAAATCAACTGTGTTAAATATGTTTAATGAGCTAAAGGAAGCTATGGGCAAAGAAGTAAAGGAAGTCAGGAAAACTATGGAGAACAAAAGAAAATATCAATAAAGAGACAGAAATTATAAGAAGGACCAAACAAATTCTGGAGATTAAAAGTGAAATAACAGAAGTGAAGAATTCATTAGACATATTCAACATCAAGTTTGAGCAGACAGAAGAAAGGATCAGTGCACTTAAAGATAAAACAATTGAAATTATCCAGTCTGAGGAGTAGAAAGAAAAG